TTTACCAAAGCATATATGTTCCTACACATATGTAGAATTTTATCAATCGTGTATTACTAATAATTGTAATGAGAATTTGTTATTGTTGTTGTTCAGTCGCTAAGTCATGTGCGACTCTTTGCGACCCTGTGGACTGCAGCATGCCAGCAGACTTCCCTGTGCTTCACTACATCCTGGCGTTTGCTTAGATTCATGTCCATTGAAGTCGGTGATGCCAACCAACCATCTCATCCTCTGCTGCCCTCTTCTCGTTTTGCCTTCAATCTTTCCCAGCATCAGGTCTTTTCCAGTAAGTCAGCTCTTCGCATTAGGTGGCCACAGTATTGGAGCTTCAGCTTCAGCATCAGTCCTTCCAGTGAATATTCAGGGTTGATTTCCTTTAGGATTGACTGGTTTGATCTCCTTGCAGTCCAAGGGACTCTCAAGAGTTTTCTCCAACACCACAGTTCAAAAGCATCAGTTCTTTGGAGCTCAGCCTTCTTTAGGTCCAACTCTCACATCCATACATGACTAATGGAAAAACAATAGCTTTGACTAGATGGACCTTTGTTGACAAAGCATTGTCTTTGATTTTAAACACACTGCCTAGGGTGGTCATAGCTTTCCTTCCAAGGAGCAACTGTCTTAATTTCATGGCTACAATCGCTGTCTGGAGTGATTTAACCCAGAAGAAAAAGTTTAACACTTAGAACTTTCTAGTTATAGGGAAGTAAATACTAATTTAAATTTTATACATATTCTGTTGCAAAGTATGATAGCATTATCAATAAAAGACGTGGACTTGGAGTCAGACGCAGCCATGGCAAAAGTGGAGATGCCGCGAAAACAAATTGAGAAGAAAGGTAAAAGGAGAAGCCAAAATCTAGTACGACTGAAGAGGCAGCAGAAGAAAAGGAAGAAATTATTTCTCCCAACACTAAAAAGGTTAAAAAGAAAGCAGAGCCTTCCGAGGTTGACGTGGATTCTCCTAAATCTAAAAAGGCAAAAAAAAAGAGAAGCCAGCTCAAGATGACACTATTTCTCCTAAAACCACAAGTTCAAAGAAATCAAAGGAGCCCTGTGAAAAGACAGTTGTTTCTCCTAAAACTAAAAAAGTTATAAAAAATGAAGAGCCTTCTGAGGAAGAATTGGGTGCACCTAAGCCCAAAAAGATGGCGAAAGAAAAAGAAATAAATGGAGAAATTAAAGAAAAAAGCCCCAACCTCAAGAATGGATCCCCTGACTCTGGACCTAACTACAACTCCAAGGAAACTGCCAGTGAAGAAAACAGTGAGTTAGAGCAGGAATGACTGTGGGGCAAAAAGAAGAAGCTTCCTCTAATTTCCCCATATCTGAAGAAATGATTAAACTTCTCAAAGCCCGTGGGGTGACCTTCCTGTTTCCTATACAAGCAAAGACGTTTCACCATGTCTATCATGGGAAGGATTTGATTGCACAGGCGCGGACAGGAACTGGAAAGACATTCTCCTTGGCTGTCCCTTTGGTTGAGAAACTTCTTGGAGACCTGCAAGACTGGAAGAGAGGCGTGCCCCTCAGGTACTGGTTCTTGCACCCACAAGGGAGTTGGCAAGTCAAGTAAGCAGAGACTTCAGTGACATCACAAAAAAGCTGGCAGTGGCTTGTTTTTATGGTGGACCTCCCTATGGAGGACAAATTGAACACATGAGGAATGGGATCGATATTCTGACTGGGACACCAGGTTGTATCAAAGACCACCTGCAGAATGGCAAGCTAGATCTCACCAAACTTAAGCATGTTGTCCTGGATGAAGTTAACCAGATGTTGGATATGGGCTTTGCTGATCAAGTGGAAGAGATTTTAGGTGTTGCATACAAGAAAGATTCAGAAGACAATCCCCAAACATTGCTTTTTTCTGCAACTTGCCCCTATTGGGTGTATAATGTTGCTAAGAAATACATGACATCTACATATGAACAAGTGGACCTGATTGGTAAAAAGACACAGAAAACGGCAATAACTGTAGAGCATCTGGCTATCAAGTGCCACTGGACTCAGGGGGCAGCAGTTATTGGAGACATGATCTGAGTGTACAGTGGTTTTCAAGGGTGCACTATCATATTTTGTGAAATGAAGAAAGAAGCCCAGGAGTTGTCACAGAATGTGGCTATAAGACAGGATGCCCAGTCGTTACACGGAGATATTCCATCGAAGCGAAGGGAAATCACCCTGAAAGGTTTTAGAAATGGTGATTTTGGAGTTATGGTTGCAACCAATGTTGCAGCACGTGGGTTAAGCATCCCCGACGTTGATCTGGTTGTTCCAAGTTCTCCACCAAAGGATGTTGAATCCTACATTCATCATTCTGGGCAAACAGGCGGAGCTGGGAGAACTGGGGTTTGCATCTGCTTTTACCAGCACAAAGAAGAATACCAGTTAGTCCAAGTGGAGCAAAAGCAGGAATTAAATTTAAATGAATTGGTGTTCCTTCTGCAACAGAGATAATAAAAGCTTCTAGCAAAGATGCCATCAGGCTCTTGGACTCTGTACCTCCCACTGCAATTGGTCACTTCAAGCAATAAGCCGAGAAGCTGATTAAGGAGAAGGGACCTGTGGAAGCCCTGGCAGCAGCCCTGGCCCACATTTCCGGTGCCACGTTGGTAGGCCAGCACTCCTTGATCAACTCAGAAGCGGGCTTTGTGACCATGATCCTGTGGTGCTCAGTTGAAACACCAAACATTAATTATGCTTGGAAAGAACTTAAAAAGCAGCTGGATGAGGATATTGATTCCAAAGTGAAGGGAATGGTCTTTCTCAAAGGAAAGCAGGGTGTTTGCTTTGATATCCCTACTGCATCAGTAACAGAAGTACAGGAAGAGTGGCATGATTCACGGCGCTGGCAGCTTTCTGTGGCCACGGAGCAATGAGAGCTAGAAGGTTCACGGGAAGGATATCGCAACTTCCAAGGACAGCGGGAAGGCAATCGAGGTGTCAGGGGACAGCGGGAAGGCAACTGAGGCTTTAGGGGACAGCGCGAGGGCGACCGAGGTGTCAGGGGACAGCGGGAAAGAAGTAGAAGCTTCAGAGGGCAGCGATCAGGAGGTGGCAACAAAAGTAACAGATTCCAAAACAAAGGCCAGATGCGGGATTTTAATAAAGCTTTTGGACAGTAACTTGAAGTAGAGGATTTATTTGGCGAAAAGAGAACTATGTTTAGCAATGTGGAACTGAACATTATTTTTCATACAAAGTTAAAAGCACATTATATTTCCTTCCTGACCACTTGCCCAGTCCCCATCTTTTGTACAGAGAAAAGCTTCATCTAAATTATTTCATCTGATGGATGAATGTCATTTATAACTTTATTGCTACTTCCGTCTTGGGTATTCCTTTGGAAAAGGTGTATGGATTCATTACATATTCTAATGTATTGTTTATAGATTGTAAGATAAAATCAAGCATATATCTGCTGATACCTTTTAAGTTGACCTGTCTTTATACTTAGAAATGTCTCTTAATAGTAGGCTTCCCTGGTGGCTCAGATGGTAAAGACTCTCCTGCAATGCAGGATCTCTGGGTCAGGAAGATCCCCTGGAGAAGGAAATGCAACCCACTCCAGTAATCTTGCCTGGAGAATTCCATGAACAGAGGAGTCTGGCAGGCTACAGTCTGTGGGGTTGCAAAGAGTCAGGCATGACTGAGCAGCTATCACTCAAGTAGAAACGTGTTACAACTTGACAAAATTCTGTGAGAGATATGGATAGAAACAGGATTTTGAAGGAAAAACAAACCATGTTAAAATTTAGGTAAATTTTCTAATAAAATTTTATAACATATTTACAGTATGTGGGAAACTACATCTCTTGCAACCATTAAACTTGTTATTACAACAACAATACAGAATGTAGGGGCGCTAAAAGTTTTGCCAAATATGGGGGGTAGTACTCTAACAGAAGGAGAAGACGGCATCAGAGGATGAGACGGTTGGACGGCATCACCGATGCAGTGGGCGTGAACTTGAGCAAACTCCGGGAGACCGTGAAGGACAGGGAGGCCTGGCGTGCTCGGTCCATGGGGTCGCAAAGAGTCGGACACGACTGGACGACTGAACAACACCACCACTCTAAGAGATAATCGTACCCCCAAGGATCCTTGGAGGGCTTAAAAAGATGATAGCAGACGCTCAGTAAGTAAAAGTGGCTCTACTTCCTTCATTAGTCCCTGTGATTACTGAATTTAAATACTAAAATATTTCCTCACTCAGTCATGGTACTGGCGAAGGACTGGCGAAACAAGTGGCAAAGCGTGAAACCGCTGCACGCTCCGCACGTCCCTTAGGAACTGGGCCGCGGGAATGAGACTGTCGGCGGGATGTCTGGGTTTTTGTTTTTTTTCCTCTCCCAAAGCCTGAGGGTTCGGGGGGTGTGGGCGCCCCAACTTCAGACCCCCCTGCACCAAAGACCACCTCTCAAACCTCATCGTGGAGGCACCAGTGGGTAGAGGGAGGTCACCACCCGGGCAGGTGCTCTGGAGCCCCGCTTCCCCGGCTGCAGTCCCTTCTCCCCGACTGCAGTCCCTTCCCCCCGACTGCAGCCCCGCCCCATCCCTGCCCCGCCTCCCCGGCTTCAGCCCCGCCTCCCCGGCTTCAGCCCCGCCCCGCCGCAGCACGTACCGCGGCGGTGAAGGGCTGGGCGACGGCAGGGCGGGGCGACGCTATTCCCAGAAAGGCCCAGGATTGATGGACGGCACGGCGGCGGGGGCGGGGCGACGCCGGCTCTTCCGGAAGGGATCCGGGATTGGCGGGCGGGGGCGGGCCCGCCCCGGGGGGGCGTGGCAGGGACACGTGGTGCGGAACCGGCGCTGCAGCTGCGGGCGGGTGAGCGACCTTCTCTGGGCGGAGAGGCCCCTGAGGGCGGCGGGAGCGGGGCGCGATGCCGGGATGTGGGGCCGCGGGCCGCCTCTGGAGAAGCAGGGGAGGCCGGGCGTGGTTGGGGAGCCGCTGATGCCGGCCCGCCCCGATAGCCGGCGCGTGGCCGTCCCAAATGGCAGGAGAGGGTGTTGGGTCAAAACGCAGCCCGCTCAGCTCGGGGGTCGGGGCTCTGGGGCTGCGGGGGGCGCGCCGGCCTGTTGACCCTCCCGCGGCGAGGCCCGCAGAGAATGAAAGCCTGGCTCTCCCCGCGGAGCCCTTGGCGGTGGCCGAAGGTTGGTGCTGCGCCCGCGGGGCAGAGGCCCGGAGTCGGGGGTCTCTAGCCCCCCGCCCGCACTTGAGGCCGGAAGGCTGCTCTGAGGCAGCGTCCGCCTTCCCACTGGTCAGGTGCGGTGATGCTTGGTTTCCGGTCGGCCTACACTGAGTCCTTGAGACCCTGATCCTCGCGGTCAGGGCCTCCGACCCGCCCCCGCCGCCCGCACGGGATCCTGGTGCTGACTCAGCGATCTGGTGGAGGTTTCTGCATGCCTTCGTCGTCCCTGGTGTTGGCCGGGAGGAGTGGCCGAGGGTCATTTTGTAGACCTGTATGTTTGCGATTGGACAAACTAGACGGTTCCGCCCCGTTTTAGTGGTTTTTACGCAGACTTAAAGCCACGATTTTGGTGTGTGTTAAGTCTCTTCCTGTGTCTTGAGTTAATGCGGGACAGGATGGGGCACTCATAACTGAAGGAATCTTTTATAGGTGTCACTGGATGGTCCCAGGTGCTACCCTGTCACTCCTTCCTCTCACACTAGTTCACTGCCGAGGCTGTTTCTCCCTAGAATCTTAGATTCCAAGAGTGCAGTGTGCCTGGCACTCTTCGATTTGGTAATACTTGCTTTTATTCCCTCCAGCTCAGGACTTTTACCCTCCTCAGTGTGGTTCACCAGGACATATAAAAGTGGTCCTACTTAATGGATTTGGTGCTGGCAGTAGTGAAACAAGAAAAACTCGAACTGTGAGTGGGAGGGAGAAATGGACCCGGCCCCACCCCCCTGGGTGAGCAGTTCAGAACAGCAGTAGCTTTTCACCCGGCCTGGTGAGGTGGCAGGCCGTGCTGAACAATCTGGTCTCTGTTTACTCTCCTTTGGTTTAAAAAAAAAAAGAAGAAGAAGTGCAGCTTTGATAGTTACATCTCTGACTCTAGCTGGAAGGCCATTGCTTAATCAGGCCACAAAGAACATGGTATTAATGAGAACTTATCACAGTGAGCTTGGGATCTGTGCTATTTAATGACCAGAAACTCAAATGAAAAGTACCTGACTTAGCGTATTTTCCTGCTAAATAGAGTTTCTTTTTTTTTTAGAGTTTCTTTTGTGATTGAAAACTTTGATTTATGTGCAGTGCCTCAGCATTTATGACCCCATCATTGAGATACGGGAGAAGGCAATGGCAACCCACTCCAGTACTCTTGCCTCGAAAATCCCATGGACAGAGGAGCCTGGTAGGCTGCAGTCCATGGGGTCGCTAGGAGTCGGACATGACTGAGCGACTTCACTTTCACTTTTCACTTTCCTGCATTGGAGAAGGAAATGGTAACCCACTCCAGTATTCTTGCCTGGAGAATCCCAGGGACGGCGGAGCCTGGTGGGCTGCTGTCTATGGGGTCACACAGAGTCGGACACGACTGAAGCGACTTAGCGGAAGCAGCCGCAGCATGGAGATAAGACCCTCAGCTGAAACAACCTGAGTTGGCTGGGAGATCTGTGTGCTCTGTCGCTGATGTTGGAAGAGGATTTTCCTTACTGAACTCTCACTGCACACCCACAGTCTGCTGCCAGACTTTGTGATTCTGAATTAAGTCCCTCGTCTGTTTAGAGCTTCTCATGGCTCTGACGGTAAAGAATCTGCCTACAGTGCAGTAGACCAGGGTTCAATTCCTGGGTCAGGAAGATCCCCTAGAGAAGGGCATGGCCACCTACTCCAGTGTTCTTGCCTGGAGAATCCCATGGACAGAGGAGCCTGTTGGGCTACAGGCCATGGGGTCACAAAGAGTCAGACAGGACTGAGCAGGTAATACTTTCACTTCTTTCTGTTTAGAAATGACTTCACAGTCCTAAACTGAGAAAAAGATACTCTTTAACTACAGTGTGTCCGCACATGGGTGCCTGTCTGCTGTCTCTCGCAGAGATCAGTTGGCAGGGTCCTGGGACTCTGAGCTGCAGTTCTAAGACCCTTCCCGTCTCTGCGGTGCTGAGTGTGCCCCTGGTCCTTGAGCTCTTCTCGGTCACTGCTGAGGCTTGAGTCTTGCCACACGATGGAAGCAGAGTTGTTGCTTGGAAGGAGCGAGGGGAACCCCCTCTGAAAGTCCCAGTTCTGGGATTTTCTGTATCTCGCGTTGGTTCCAGCTTTTAAAGACGCAGAGTCAAATGGCACCTTCTCCCCTGTGTCAGTAAGGTGGAGCAGGATGTATGGTCTCACACAGAAGCTGGACGTCCGAAAATGCACCTGGGGAGATGGACGTTTCTCTTCCCTCATCAGGCCCTGGTGGACTTTCACACGCTGTCCTGGCCGTTTCTGGACCTGGGCTGTCAGTTTCCTTAACCTGAACCCACGTTCCTCTCCTTGGATCTTGGGTGCTATGCTGCGGTTTGCGGTATAGGGACACATGTGACATTTTTGCTGAGCACCTTGGAGTGATTCTTTCCTCTGTGGTAATAGTAAGTGGCAAGTTCTCTGTGTGCTTTGAGAGTAAGATTAAATTTTTTAAAAAAGTGTTAAGAACAGTGGTGTATCAGTACTCCTGGAAAGTACCTGCTTTTAATTATATCAGATTGTCTTCAACTCAGGCCCTTGCTTCAGTTACCTGCCATTCTGTCACACAATTCCTGGGTATGTTTCCTTCTGAAAAAAAAAAAGAAAAAAAGAAAGAATGGAGATCAGCCTGAGCCTCTCTGATTGATTTCCCAAGCCGTTGTCTCTGCTGAGGTCACTTCCTGGAGCCCTCGTGACGGCCGTGTCTCATGCTGTTGGGGCGGGGTGCAATTTATGATCCTAAACAAGTGCCTCCCGGGTCTGGGGATCAGTTGGGCCCTGTCTCGAGGCAGCACTGACAGGTTCTTCTGCCTTCCAGGAGTCTCCAGGGTCTGCGGTCTGGTTGAAAGATGTCGGCCCTCACCACCCTGTTTAAGTACGTGGATGAAAATCAGGATCGCTATGTTAAGGTAAGGGAATGTTTAGTGACTGTTCAGGTCCAGTTTAGTCCCATGGGACCCAGAGAAACTTCCAAGGAGCTAATATGATTGATGCTGTTCTAATCGAGTATTAAAAATGCTGTGTAGGCAGAGAAAGACAGATGCTAGTGTGATCTTACTTATATATGGAATCTGAAAAAGTTGAACTCAGAGAAGCAGAGAGTTGAACCCTGGTTGCTAGGGACCAAGGGCTGGGGAGATGGGGGTTTGGCCTAAGGGTTCAGACCTGTTATGGGATGAATAAGTTCTGGGGATCCAGTGCACTGCATGGTGAATATAGTTACCAGTACTCTGTTACATGTTTGAGTAGATGTGAAATCTTGCCCCCCAACCAAAAAAAAAACATAACTTAAATTGTGTATTGTCGAGAGGTCTTTTCCTCTGCTTTCTCATTACAGTATGTAAGTTACTCTTTCGGCTTTTGATAGAAACTCTTAATACATGTTTCTAGAAACAGCAAAGCTAATTCAGGATTTTTGTCTGTTCTTGTGGTAGATATAAAGAACTACCTTACATTGCATGTTTTAAATGATTCTGTAATCTTATATATTAATCTGTTTCTTTATGTTAACGTAAAGAGCCGTGCTTTAAAATCACCTTTGGTAGACATATTTCAGGTGAAATCTTTCAAGTTCTCATTTGAAAAATTCTATTTTAGAGAACATGGCCATTCTCAGGATGATAAATAAGGCAACTTGGACTGTGAAGATATGGGGTATTTTCTGTATCTTCCAGTTTCAATTTTGTCAGAATCAGATATAAACATGTTTATGAAACTTACACATTTCATAAAAAAAACTTACGTGTCTTGCAACTACATCATGCTTGGTGGTTAATGAGTCTCCTGTCATTTTGTATAGTCCTTGATATGGGGTCAGTGCAAACAGTCCTTATATCTTAAACAGAAAGTAGACGCCACAGATCTCTTCCCCCATGTCTGGGCAGTGGGATCCAGATGGAGCAGACAGGTAGTGAGTGAGCTCTGTGGGCCTGAAGATGGCCCACCTGTGAGCACCTTCCTCCCTCCCAGAGCAGCTTTTCCAAGTCCCTTTTGCTTGTTCTCCACCCACAGAAGCTTGCAGAATGGGTGGCCATCCAGAGCGTGTCAGCATGGCCTGAGAAGAGAGGCGAGATCCGCAGGATGATGGAGGTGGCAGCTGCCGACATCAAGCAGCTGGGCGGCTCTGTGGAGCTGGTGGACATTGGGACCCAGAAGGTGGGCAGCGGGCCAGGACAAGGGCTTTCCTGGGTGGCTCCATGGAGCTGGTGGACATCGGGACCCAGAAGGTGGGCGGCAGGCCGGGTCGGGAGCTTTACTGAGGGGTTGGCAGGACTCGGCAGGTCCTCACAAGTTCTGAAGGCTTTGCTGCAGATAAATCACTGGCCTTTATTATTTCTTAATAATTTATGTATTTATTTATTTTTGATTGCACTGCGTCTTGGTTGCTGTGCGGGCTCTTCTCTAGTTGAAGCGAGCAGGGTTGCTCTCGAGTCGAGGTGCACAGGCTTCTTCCCGCAGTGGCTTCTCTGGCTGCAGAACACGGGCTTTAGGATGCACAGGCTTCAGTGGTTTTGGCTCCTGGGCTCTGGACACAGGCTCAGTAGTTGTAGCACACGGGCTTGGTTGCTCCAAAGCACATGGGATCTTGCAGGACCAGGGACCAAACCCATGTCTCCCACATTAGCAGGCAGGTTCTTTTACCACTGACCCATCAGGGAAGCCCAACTCGCTGGTCTTTCAAACAAGCAAAGGTGGCCTGACTTGGATGCTAAACTGGGTGGCTTCTTGAGTCAGAGTGGACTGAGATTCACGATACCCATCGTGTTCGTCCAGGGAGGGGAACTGTTGAGGGTTATCCAAGAGGAAGTGAACAGAATGGTCCTTCCAACATGAGCTGAGATTCCTTCCCCAGAGCCAGGCAGCCTTCAGACCAGGAAGGTACACTCTGCCTATTAGCTGCAAAACTAATGAAGATGCCCACTCACTCACACCCACTGTGTCCCCAGTGTCACGATTGATAAAACAGTGCTTTTTTCATGACTCGGTTCCTGGGAAAGAGTGACTTGAGGTGTGGGGCACAGGGCTCAGTTGTGTTTTAATGCAGGAATCTGACAGATTCTAACTTGGATGAGTGATATCACTGTGTGGTACCCTATTCTGCTGTTTTCGTTTCAGATGCTGTCAGCCCCGTGTTAACTACATGTTTCGTGCCATGCATTTTCAGCGTTTGTAATCCTCCTTTAGGTTGCAGGGCTGACTGGGTTTGGTTTATCTTGGTTCTCTTGTCTGATGATTTATGTGTCCTTTGAAATCACAGTCCTGGGATTTTAGGAGTGGGCGTGCAGCCTGGTCTGCTCTTCTCATAAATGGAAGGACCCAGAGGCTCAGACAGGCTCTGTCTTTCTGGGAAGCAGTAGCAGGTCCATGGCAAAGGAGGTTACCATCTGGGCCTTCTGATTCCAAGTCCAGTTTGCGTGTGAGGCTTCTGCTGACTACAGACTTAATAGTTAATTTAAGGTTACTTAAGATATCTTGCAACTTCCTGGCACTTTCCCCACTCCTCACTGTGAGAGGACAGACCAGTATTCCTGGAGTTGTTTTCTGTTAGGAGCATACTTGTCTTGCTTCCTCTCCCTTTTTCCTAATATGCTAAAAAAAAAAAAAAAAAAAAAAACTAGGTGGCAAATAATTTTTAAGAGTTGTTACTTTAAAACAGGCGAAACTGTTCCGACTGAACACACACACCTTAGCAATGTATTTTTCCTGGAGAAGGAAACGGCAGCCCACTCCAGTGTCCTTGCCTGGAGAGTCCCACAGACAGAGGAACCTGGCGGGCTGTGGTCCATGGGGTTGCAAAGAGTTGGACTCAACTGAGCACTTTTAAAGATCATTTTTTAAAAATTGAGCAGGTTGCCTACGGTTATAAACATAATTGTCACTGTGCTCTGGATTATGGGGGCATATATTCTTGTTAATTATTAACTCAGTGTAATGATGTGATATTGAGCTCTGCAATAGAGGGTGATTGATGAGAACAGATACACTTGCCTGGGGCATGCTGATAGCACCTGCTGTAAACCCCACTCTCTCCTTTTTTTTTGAAAGTGGTGTGTAGTTGCTTTCCAGCGTTGTGTTGGTTTCTCTCGTACAGCAAAGTGAATCAGCTGTAGGTCACATACATCCCTTCTGATCACCGCAGAGCACTGAATAGAGTCTGCTGCACGCCACAGCGGGTTCTCATGCGTTACCTTGTCTATGTATGGGAGACTGGGGTTAGCACCGCACTCCCTGACCAAGGACCATCCCCCATGGCCTCCCCTCCCCACCCCCAGCTCCCGGATGGCTCCAAGATCCCGCTTCCGCCCATTTTACTCGGCAAGCTGGGCTCCGACCCGCAGAAGAAGACGGTGTGCATCTATGGCCACCTGGATGTGCAGCCAGCGGCCCTGGAGGACGGCTGGGACAGCGAGCCCTTCACCCTGGTGGAGCGAGACGGTACGCCGCTCCCTGGAGGAGGGGGCCTGTGACCACAGGCTTCAGGAAGTGCAGCCTGGCCTGTTGGTTGCCATCTTTCCAGAACTAGCTATTTTCACGGAACCTAGAAATCAGGTTCTGGAAGCTTCACGCCTGTGCTCGGTCCTTGAAACGCCAGGTAGCCTTACTTTCCCGGCAGAGCCTGGTCTCCATGGCCTTGGGCACGCTGGGCTTCCTGCACCTGCTGCCGTTTTCCCAGGAAGCCTGGCCTGAACTGAGCCAGCATGGCCCCCAGCCCTGGACCTGAATCCAGCCCTACTCTAGGGGAAGCGTCAGCATTTCCCCGACCCCCGCCCCCGCCCCACCTTCATCTCTGAACCTTCACTTTTCCGCACCAGATGTGGCCTTTGGCCCTGTGGAGCAGCCCTTTGTGTGTACCTTGTCCCCTTGGGCCGAGTCCAGGCTGTCTTAATTGAAACCTTTCCTCGGGACATGTTGCATTTCTGTTGAGTCCTCCCCAGTGGCACAGGGGCAGTCAGGTCATCACGGCTCACGTGGTCCCTGCAGTGCACTTGCCATCTTGTCCCTAGTCGAGAGCCTGGCCCCCCGCGCTCCGCCCATCCCCCCTCTTGTCCCCTCGTCCCCTCCCGGCCGCTCCCAGCGGCAACCTGCTCCCTACCCTGCCCCAGGCAGCACCCAGAGGTCACTCTCATCTCACCCTGCTCATCTGCCTTCCCCATACCACCCCCCACCCCACCTCGCCCCAACCCCTACCCACCCCCCACCCCCCACCCCACCTCACCCCAACCCCCGCTCCCTGGCCTGTGACCATCACCCAGTGAACCTGCCGATTGCTATTCTAGGCAAATTGTACGGGAGAGGAGCCACCGATGACAAGGGGCCGGTGGCCGGCTGGATCAACGCCCTGGAAGCCTTCCAGAAAACCAAGCAGGTACGTGGCCCACGCCCCGCCACCCACTTCACCGGTTCCATCTGGTGGTGGGCAGTGGAGCTTTCTGTCCCGGGAGCAGCCAAAGATCAAAGATCACACTCCCCACCCACCTCCTCCCTCGAGCGGCATCAGCGCAGCTGGGCCACGCTCCACTTCATAGCCTGTTTTCTAGTTTTAGGAAACACTGAAGATGCAGTGGTTTATGGTTGTTCTAAGGTCACCCCGTTGGTGACTCAACAGGGACCCAGCCAGCAGGGGAGGCGAGAGCTCCGGGCACAGACCATGCCTGGGGAGGGGGTGCTCGCCTGCAGGGGACCCAAGCTGTGATAGCAGACAGACCCCTTACTTCCTGTTATTCTCTTACTTACCCATCTTTTCAAGAATTCTTTTTAATCTAGTTGTGATCATAACGTATAGACAGTTTCTGCATCTTGCTCTTCTCTTGCGATGAGATAAGAAGCGTTTTTGTCAGGACTGGAGGGGTAGATCTGAAAAGGCTTCAAGTGTGCTGTGCTCAGGGGCCCTGGAGCTTGTGGTGGCCGAGGGGAGGGGCGTCCATTCGCAGACCCAGCCCCCAGCTCACCTCTGTTCCCCTGGAGAGGCGGAGGGGCGGGGCGTGTGGTGAGCGTCGCTTCCTGGGGCGGCTCTGAGCTGGGACCCCACAGAGTGGAGTGCATGTGGGCCGACCAGCCATGGCCTTTAGCATCAGCTCACTCAGGTGCAGCTCCATGGTCTCACCTGTGGAAGGGGGCCACCCGCCTCAGGGCACAGCGCCGGGGAGACCTGGAAACTCCCGGAGCAGAGCAGGAGGTGGTGGCGCCTCAGAGTCGCTGTCCGCTCTGGAGGAGGAGGGCCCGCAGTGGGTGGAGGGCGGGGTCGTGCAGGAGGAAGGTGCCCGCCCGCTCACTCTGTCCAGGGGTGCACGGCATGGCTACCGCAGTTCGGATGGAGGCTCCAGCCGGGTTTGTGTCCCGGCCTCTGTCTTCAAGCAGCTCAGCTTTGCCAGAGACGCCTAATCTGTGCTGGGTGCTGGCAGGAAACCCTGCGAGTGAGCCGCGCGATCGGGCTGGGGGCCCCTGGGAAGCAGTCCTTGCAGGTGACCCGCCGGGGCCAGGCACGTGTCCTGGCAGCCCGGCGCTGGGGTGGAGGGTCTCTGCCAACCCCCCTTGCCCGCCCCGTGGTCAGCGCGGGGAAAGTCAGTCGGGTATTTGAAATGCACGATTTCACAACACTTGGTGGCTTCCTGTCTGTTGTTCTAAGAAATAAAATCCGTGTGCGCTGACTGCCCCCTTCACCGCCCCCTCCCAGGAAGTCCCCGTCAACGTCCGCTTCTGCCTGGAGGGCATGGAGGAGTCCGGCTCCGAGGGCCTGGACGCGCTGATCTTCGCCCAGAAGGACACGTTCTTCAAGGATGTGGACTACGTGTGCATCTCCGACAACTACTGGCTGGGCAAAAACAAGCCCTGCATCACCTACGGGCTGCGGGGCATCTGCTACTTCTTCATCGAGGTGCGCAGGGGCCGTTCCTCCCCCAGGAGGGTCTCTGGTTGCGGCCAGAGCCTTGTGATTTAGGGAGCGCCTGGCCGAGCCTGGGGGGCAGCAGACTTTGATTTCTGAACGTGCCGTGTGAGCCTCCTCTGCCGGCTCTCCCACCGGGGGGTGAGGGCGAGCTCCAGAGAGCAGCCCGCAGAGCAGCCCGTGTGTCCACAGGTGGAGTGCAGCGACAGGGACCTGCACTCCGGCGTGTATGGCGGCTCTGTGCATGAGGCCATGACCGACCTCATCATGCTGATGGGTGAGCGCGAGTGGGCCCCTGCAGCGATCCGGGGGTCTTCTCTCCCCCCCTCTCTGGATGCTCCCTCTAACAGGCCCACGTGGTTCATGTCTGCCTCCCCTTCCCTCCCCACCCCCGTCCCCCGACCATCAGACCCCGCCTCGGGTCGCTAGAATCAGGCCATCCTTGCCCTGGACGCGGTGGTGTCTCCCCTTCCTGCAGGGGGTTGCTCTGGTCCAGTTGGCTGTCATTGGCCATGGCGGATCTCCTGTGAGGCTCGCTGTCTGCCCCACTGGGCGCCTGGCCTCACCCAGGGTGTGCTGAGTCACGTTTTCCTCCCCTGTGGGCGGCGTGTGTCATACATGGAGCCGACTTTCCTGGGCCTGGAGTGCGCTCTGTCTCATTGGGTTTTCCCTCCTCAGCGTGGGAGTAGGTGGCTTCTTAGGGAAGGGACATCAGAAAGGAAACACGGGCCTGACGGTGGGCAGGCTGGCGGGAGCCAGTTTGCTCTGTGTGTGTCCTACCCTGTGACTGCGGGTAGTTCCCCTGCCGTCTCTGCGGCCGTCTCTTTACCTTAAACGGAGGCGGCCCCACGCCCTCCCGGGTTGTCACGGTAACGGATAACAGGCAGCACAGGTGCTTCCACTCACCCCCACTCTCCCACCACCCAGGCTGCCTGATGGACAAGAAGGGGAAGATCCTCATCCCCGGCATCAGTGAGGCCGTGGCCCCGGTGACTGAGGAGGAGCTGGAGCTCTACGATAAGATCGACTTTGACCTGGAGGAGTATACCCGGGACGTGGGCGCCAGGACCCTCCTGCATGGCTGCAAGGTGCCCCCCATCTGCCAGCTTGCACCGCGCACAGCCCTGGGGCCCCGGGGAGGGGGCTGCAGGCTGGACAGACCTGGGCATACCCCGGTCACGTGAGTGCCAGATGCTGCCGATGTCAGCAGGCAACATGCGCCAGGCTGGGAGCTGGGAGCTCCCTAACATGTCAGGGACCGCCTGTGACACCCCGGGGACCAGGCTGCCTGCAGAGGGGGAGCTTCTCCTGGTTCACACACGCCGGGAAATTGCCCATCTGCCCAGGGGTGTCTCACTGTTCCCCAGAGAGCCAGGTGCCAAGGTGGAGACTGATTGCACAGAACGTTTACTTACCTGTTGGGAGAATCAGGTCTGGATATAAATTTCAGCTCTAAGTACCTGCAGCCGCAGGCTCTGGGGAAGCAAGAGGAGCTCGCCATCCACCTTGGGGGCCAGCTCGCCCAGCGGCCCTGCTGGATCAGTGCCGCCTCCCTCTGGGCATGCGGTCCCCCAGCCGCCTGGTCTCCCCCGCGAGCAGCTGGTGCTGACCCTGACCCACAGTGCTGACTGCTCTTGGCATTGCTGACCCCTAACAAGCTGGTGCTGACCCCCGAGTCACAGTGGGGAATCCCCCAACCCACAGTGGGGACCCCTGACAAGCCAGTGGGGACGCCTGACCAGCCGGTGCTAACTGCCGACCCACGGTCCTGACCCCTGACCGATGGTGCTGACCCCTGATACGCAGTGCTGACCCCTGACCCGTGGTGCTGACCCCTGACCACTGGCTGTCTCTCTGCAGAAGGACATCCTGATGCACAGATGGCGTTACCCATCCCTGTCTCTCCATGGCATCGAAGGTGCCTTCTCCGGGTCAGGGGCCAAGACCGTGATTCCACGCAAGGTGGTCGGCAAGTTCTCCATCCGACTCGTCCCGGATATGACTCCGGAAGTGGTCAGCGAGCAGGCATGTAGACACGGGGGTGCGAGGAGGGCTGCTGTGCCTGAGGAGATGGTCACTGAGGGCCCCAGGGGCCCCCCGACAGGGAAGGGTGCTCCCCTCCCCCACACAGCCCCATCCCTGGCACTCCCCAGCTCAGCCATCTCTAGAATAAGCAAGTCAGATCCTAATCAGAGATAAACAAATCAGAGACATGCTGAATAAAACGGCATTCCCCCCGCACGACCTTTGTCCCTGCTGAGGCGTGCCAAAATTTCATCTCTGACCTCATTCTAAAGCTTGAAGCAAAGGCTGACTCTGGGCTGAATGTGTTGTGGTGAGAGTCCAGGGTCTGGGCCATCGTGAGCAACAGAGAGGGCTGGGGGGGCTCCAGAGGGGAGAGGACCGGGGAAGGAGATGAGGATGAGACCCAGTGTTCACCCACAGACTCACTGTAGACCCCGTGTAGACCCATAGACCCCGTGTAGACCCTCGTAGACCCAGTGTAGACCCTCATAGGCCCAGTGTAGACCCTCATAGGCCCAGTGTAGACCCCTCATAGGCCCAGTGTAGACCCCTCATAGGCCCAGTGTAGACCCCTCATAGACCTACTGTAGACTCGCATATACCCCGTGTAGACCCCTCATAGACCCAGTAAAGACCTCTCATAGACTTCGTATAGACCCCGTGGAGCCCCCTCATAGACCCAGGGTAGACCCTCACAGACCCTGTGGAGTCCCCTCATAGACCCAGGGTAGACCCTCACAGACCCTGTGGAGTCCCCTCATAGACCCAGGGTAGACCCGCCCACCGGAGACTTGTCTCGGAGTGGATCCCCAGCCCTGGACCAGAGAGGTCAGGCTTGTGAGACATTGTCCTTCCTGTCTGTGGTTCAGGTTACGAGCTACTTGACCAAGAAGTTTGCTGAGCTTCACAGTCCCAACAAGTTCAAGGTGTACATGAGCCACGGCGGGAAGCCCTGGGTGTCCGACTTCAACCACCCTCACTACCTGGCTGGGAGGAAAGCCCTGAAGACAGGTGGAATGCACCCCTGGAGACGGGCTGGGCCATGCCGCCTCCCACCCTGGGAGCAGAGCCCTTGCAGAGGGCCTGGGCTCGGGGTTGCCGGGCAGTGGAGGGCCCCTAAACCTCCGTTTCTTTTGTTCCGTCCTCCTCAGTGTTTGGTGTTGAGCCGGACTTGACCAGGGAAGGCGGCAGCATCCCGGTGACGCTGACGTTCCAGGAGGCCACGGGCAAGAACGTCATGCTGCTGCCGGTGGGCTCGGCAGACGACGGAGCGCACTCCCAGAACGAGAAGCTCAACCGGTGAGCACAGAAAAGAGGGGCTCCCTGCAGCGCAGGGGGCTGCTGAGAGCAAAGACAGACCCTGCAGGAGGGCTGGGGGAAGGCCAGAGCCCTGGGTGTTAGGACGCAAGGTGGAGACCTCGGCCCAGACACACAGGGGGCCTGTGGTCGCGGAGAGGCGATGCACTGAGTCCCGGGGTAGCCCGTAGTCCAGGAGGCCAGGATCAGGGCTGGTCCCGATGGCGTGCTGGGCTGGGCTTGAGAACCAACTGGGCTGGAGCATTCGGGACCAGCAAGCCAGGGCGCCGGCATCCACTCCCGAAAGGAACGCGCGCGTGGGCCCAGAGCTCGGGCGCCCGCCACTGACCCCCGTTCTCCCGGCCAGGTGCAACTACATCGAGGGGACCAAGATGCTGGCCGCGTACCTGTATGAAGTGTCCCAGCTGAAGGACTGAGCGCCGCCCCACCGCCCCCGCGCGCTCCCCCGCCTCTCGGGACCGCCCGCTGCTCCTCCCCTCTGTCAGATTCTGCAGACTTCCAGCGCAGATGTGAGAGCGCCCCCGCCCCGTCTCAGGATGGATAAGCAGTCAGGCCCGGGGCCTGTCAGCGACCCTGGATGAGCTGACTGCCCCCTGGTGGTCAGCGTGAGTTGGTCTCCAGAAGATGGCACGCATTCCTCCGTACAAAGTGCAGGATGGCGTCCACAAGGGCTGAAGCGAGGTTCGGGGTCTCCTGGCCCTGCGTCTGTCCCCAAGTCATGGTCGTGCCCGCTCGGAGCATTCCGTCCCAGGCCTAGGGCCTCGAGGGCAGCCTTCCTGATCCGTGCTGTCTCGGGCACATCCTGTCCTGTTCTCAAGACCTTTCCCGTTACGATGTTCCATCTCTGTATTAAAATCCTTCAAAATCTAAGCCTGAGCCGGAGGGTTATTTGGTCTCAGTCTGTGTTGCCAGAATTAACAGTAAAAGTGGAGCCTCCAGAGGAATGAGTGCCCGCGCACCTCACTCCATGCAGCCGCGTGTCCGTGTGAAACTGGCTGCAGGAGAAGAGACACGGGGTCGGGCGCGTGGGTCGGCCGCGTGAGCGCTGTCCCGAGCACACAGAGGAACCGAATATGTAGCATTAGAGGAAGGCCTCAGGGAGCGGCATTCCCTTTTCAGAGAGGACTGTGCCATCAGCCTCCGAGGCTTTGGGAGGATGGGGGGTGGCGGTCAGGACGTTCTCCCCACTCGCCCACCTTTCCCCTCCCGCCAGTCCACGTCAGAATGAGACCAGGCGCAGTCTCCGGCTCAGGGCGGAGCCCAGAGCCGTCTGTTGCTTTTGGGTTCATGCTCACCATCGGGCCTCAGCTCCATTTAGCAGAACCTGTTAGCCCACATCATAAGAAGAAGGCCCCAAAGTGGACAAGTGTGTGCCAGGCTCCTCTGACCTGAGTTCCCTGAGCCTCCCAGAAGAGGCCGGTTCAGTGCGCAAGTCGAAAGGGACAGTCGTCGAGGAGGAGCTGGAGATCCTCGGGACCGCAGACGGCCTAGGCCAAATAGCCGGGAGGGGACAGTGTGGATGCGGAGTCAGGCGTATGGACGCGGTCCTGCAGCTGCGATTGTTCCTGTGGGAGAGACCAGGGCTGACCCCCCCGGGGGGGCGACCAACTCACAGCCTGTTGGGATTGAACCATGTCCCCTCAAAGTCCGTGTGTTAGAGGGTGGCCCTTGCCCAGTGTGACTGGAGTCCTTATGCAGGGGGGCGTTTGGACAGCGGTGTGCCCAGGGATAGGGCAATGTGATGGTGAAGGCAGAGGCCACGTGATGTGTCTGCAAATCAAGGAACTCACCCGGCAGGTGCCTGCGGCTCCTGGAAGCCATGTGAGGCCAGGCACAGGCTCCCCACCCCCAGTCCACCCCGGGGGGGCAGAACCAGCCCTACCAAAGGTGACAGGGCATGATCTCGGTGCCTCCCTCCAGTCTGCCGACCTCGGGCAGGTGCCCCTGCTCTGTCTTCAAGGTGACACCCTCCGCATGCGCCCAGCAAAGGCCTGGGCTGTCACAGATGACCTGAACCGGCTGCAATGGCCTCAGTAACGTCAGATGACTTCCCGGCCACTACCTCATCCCCTGTCTGTGCACGCATTGTTCCTTCCTCCGATACCAAACTGAATGAATCTCTCTCAAGCATCTTTGTTTTCCAAGTGTGAATAGGCCCACTATTTCAGCCTTGTGCTCCCTCTCGGGGAGGGGAGAGGATGCCATCCAACACATTTTTAGGGGGTGGGGGGATATTTAATGTGACCAGCTGGGGGCCTTGGTGAGACCTCCTCTTGCACTTTCCTCTGAGGTTTGGGGGTATGGCTGAGGTCCCCTGAACTGCCGCCCAGTGCACCCCAACTAGGAAGAATGGTGAGTAGACCCTCCACCGCTCGGGGTCAGACGGAGTGTACACCCCACCGCTGAGCCAGGTGAAGCAGCTGATCCCCGCCTGCACTTAACTTAGATATGTCCTCAGGCCCTCTGTCTCGGCCTGAGCAATGCACCATCTGAAAGTATTTTATCGATATTTTTTGGGTGACTGTGCTAAATTGCTTCAACTCTTTGCGACCCTATGGACTGTAGCCCTCCAGGCTCCTCTGTCCATGGGATTCTCCAGGCAAAAATACTGGAGTGGGTTGCCATGCCCTCCTCCAGGGAATCTTCCCAACCCAGGGATTGAACCTGAGTCTCTTACATTTCCTGCATCGGTAGACAGGTTCTTTACCACCTGTGCCACCTGGGAAGCCCTTGGGCAGCTATGCATTCCAATAAATGGCTAAACACTTTTTTCCATCATTATTTTCAAGCATTTCATTCAGTGCCTGGAATCAGCTCCCCTCAGAGGAGGCTGGGACCGAGGTGTGGACGCCAGGCTCAGGCAGGTGGAGAGAACTAGACTTTCAACAGCGCACTTCTCCATGCTCCTATTTTCTTCCCACAAAAGAGCCAAGTTACTCAGGTGATGTCATCATGCAGCATTCTTGCCTGTAGCTAATTATAATCAATGTTTTCAGAGAAGGATCAGGATAAAACAGTAACTCACTGTGAATGACAAAAGACTTGCAATAGCCATGGTCACAAATATGGTAAGAACTCATTTTTAAAAATTAGTCAGTAGACAAGGAAATTTGGTTATTTCTAAGGCATATGACTTTCAAAGATAAAAATTGGTATTATGGTGGATTCTATGGACAGTAAGGATATTGAGAAACTCCTTGGAATTTGTATGCAGTTTTTGGAACACATATACTAGTTACATATACCAATACAGATATAAACTAAAGAAGGTTAAAATTAAAATCACTTTTACTTTACAATGCTTCTCATGTAATTTAATATATCAAATAAGCCTAATTAGTTTTATATCACTATTTTTATATGGAGAGAGCATAAGTCTTTGATATTTTCTGGGGGCCCTCTGGGAAAAAATTCCCAAAGTTGGTTCTAAGTCAAAAAGACTTCTTTTAAAACCTGACTTTGGGGACTTCTTTGGTGATGAAGTGGTTAAGACTTTGCCTTCCAGTGCAGGGGGTAAAGGTTCAATCCCTGGTTGGGGATCCCACAGCCCCAACCTAGTGGCCAGAAAACCAGAACATAAAGCAGCAGTAATATTGTAACAAATTCAATCCAGTGGTCCACATTAAAAAAAGAAAAAAAGAAAAAAAACCCTGACTTGGGGAAGTTCTCAAATATGTCAACAGGTTTAAGATACTTGATTCAATGTGATCACATGTAACGTGAAATGATACTTAGTTATCTCTTTAACCAAAGTAACAATTAAAAGATTTCAAAGACATGGTATAAAGACAGAAAGTTATAAAAAGACTTAAGTTCTTTCAATATTGAGAAGACTCAGTTTTCTGAAGTAATCGAAGACCTGATTAAGACAGCATGAAGTATAAGAAATTATTTTGGTAAGTACAGAATCTTTGTTTTCTCAGCATATTATTCAACAGGTAAAGTAAAATCTTTTGTGATAAACAAGAAAACCTTGTTCTCTTAACACAGAATATTGAATTCTAGTTTTGCATAGCACACTGTTGATATTAAAGATTTTTTTAAAAAATCTTTTAATAAATTTAATTTTAACCAGCTTGACCACACAATGTATTAATAAGACTTTCTCTCTCTCTTTCTGTTCTGTAATTTTTAATACCTATTTTTTCTTTATTCTCCTTAAAAAATAATTGAAGCAACAATTAAATAATCTCTAAACAAGAACAAAATTATTTTCCTTTTCCCTTTACAAAAATGCATACTTATACCTTAAACCTTTTTTTTAAACCAAAAATCACATCTTGCTTTCCTTGCATACTTTGTATCGAGTTTTTTTCTTTATTGTTTTTATTTCCAGTAGTTTCATTTACATATAAGACTAGAATTCTTAACTCTTAGTAATTACTATCTTGTGAAAGTTGGGAGGTAAGCAATTGTGAACTGTCTGTCACATACAGCTTTCTGTAGTAGATGAGCAAATTTACGTATCAAGCCATCATTTCTAGGGGCACATGCTCCCTCCTGGTGGTCTGTGGTAAGTGGCTTCAGTCGTGTTTGACTCGTTGCGACCTCACAGACTGTAGCCCACCATGCTCCTCTATCCACGGGATTCTCCAGGCCAGAACACTGGGGTGGACTGCCATACCCTCCTCCAGAGGGATCTTCCTGATCCAGGGGTTGAACCCACATCTCTTGCATCTCCTGCATTGGCAGGTGGGTTCTTTACCACTAATGCCATCTGGGGCGAAAAAGAAGGCTGGATGACCATCTTGGACAGGTGACATCACCCAGCAACCTTTTCAACTTTTGTTGTCTCAAAGTAGCTTACTCTATAATGCTACAGATTATTAACCCTTTCCTCCCTACAGCTCCTAGTGCAATTTATTTTCAACGTGACAAAAGAACATATTTACTAACAGACTCAAATATCTTTAGTCTCTCTTTAATAAGCCCAAAGTAGATAATTTAAACTTAGGTTTAGAAATCTCAGTGTTTTATCTTATTGAGAAATGGTCTCAATATTTACTGATTAACCATCATTCAACTGAATGTAAATTAAAGGTTTGCATTACCCAAAAGATTTTGGAAGCGATGTTTGAGCAGAGGTATTTCATAAAGCCTAATTCTTTCTTGAGTTGCCGTGGAGGAGGTTGTTGAGTGGTGCTGGGAGCCGGGCTCCGAGGGATGTGATTGGAAAGAGAGGAGGTGGTGTGAGTCCAGCCTCGGTCTTCTCAGACACGGCCTCTGACCAGTCCGGCCCCGCAGCACAGGGCTCCTGCCTGAAGGGCCGAACATCACCGTCCACGTGACGGAGCCCAGATGCACTGTTAAACGTCTACTGAGTGTCTCGGGGCAGATGGAGAAACGCTGGAGGCGGGAAATTGGAGTCTGAAGACACCCCCGCCCGAGCTCCGCTCTGGGGACTGTAGGTAACTCT